ATTGCCTGAAAATTCCTTCAATGGTGAGGAAAGAGTTAACAGGTTACGTTCTCATCTTGTTTTATTTCAGACCTTAATAAGCACATCAAACTTACAAAACATTGATGAGTCAAAGTAGTTCTGTAGCTATACAAAAGCAATATGCTACAGTTCTGTAAAAATGACTAAATGAAATATAAAGAAATTAAGTGTGCTCCTGTTTTACAGCTTTTCGATGATGTTCACGTCGCGTAATTACGTCACTTCATAACGTTCCCATGGCAACAGGGGGAAACGGCGGCTCTTGTGTGACGCAAACGCAACATTTCGCAACTTTCTGCTGAGATATATGTGACTTTTTGGCAAGGAAAATGCGAGGATTATGAAATCATGCAAGCCCCGCATATTTTGCACGGAAATCGCCAATTTATGTGGCGAAAGTGGCGTATTTGAGAAAATGCCCCCGCATAAATATGCAGACTTTGGCTGATTATATGTGATCGCATAATCGCGTTTTTCTAGAGGGACTGGTTAGCGGCCAGTTAGCCTTCGTGTTGGACATTTGGTGTGCTTTTTAATGGCCTTTTCCCCTATTGCGTTTCAGCTATCATAAATTAGGTTTCATTCAAAAGCTTAAACACTCAAAGTTTATCCTGCGAAAACCGTTTTGAAATTGGACGTTGCGTTATCATGCAAACACTACTCTAAATCATGTCACCTAGCTCCTCCCACTAGTGCGATGTCATGTTTCATCTTACAAAATTTATAATCAATAAATCAATTTCAAATCTTGACAAAACACAATTTTGCAGTAATTTCAGCACAGGTTTGTTTCTTCAATGAGCCTGAGTTCATATAAACAGTGGATCTGAAGTGTGTACTGTAAGTGGATTGGATCTGAAACACAGAAAGTCAGAGTTAATGGACACCCCTGGACATACGCAACTGTTTATGCAGTAATGCAATACAACGCGAGTCATGTACCAATATGATTGTTCTCTCTGAGATGTGCTTGTGTGTGTGTGTGTGTGTGTGTGTATGAGTGAGTGAAAAGAAGAAGAGCTATATGAAAAGAAAATAGTGTGTGAGACCTTTCATGGGGAAAAAGGAGATATTTGAGGATTAACTCAGATTTATGGCTTGTCATAACAATTTATACGTTTCAGCACTGACCTTTCCCTTCTCGCTGGAGTGATAGATGTACTTCATTACCATGTTTGAAACGAAACACCTTCCTCTCAGAGTCGCCAGAGACTGATCAGCGCAGGGTTGTGGGTAAAAACATCAGGTTTGCCCATATGACCCTGATGTCACGTTAACATTGAGGATATGTAAATCTCACAGACACGAGACAATATCTCTGTTTATTCCAGCTGATGTAGTTTCTATGCATCTGGGTGTGACTGTTCGATAAATGCAGTATGAAATAAGAGAATTAGACACGTTTATGTCTATTTATTTCTGTAAGCCCTATCAAATTTCTCTCCTTCAAACATGCCAACAAGATGTCACAACACTTATACATTTTCAGTTATAGCGAAAGTCTTATCGGTCACAAATAATCCCTGTCAAGAACACACAGACGATTCCCTTCATCCCCTAAAACGTCAGGTTGTCACAACCGAATTTCCTTCAAACCACAGTATATGTTTTAGATTTTCAAAACTGCTAATCGGTCTTACAGTAAGTCCTGTATAACGAGTCTGGTTTAGGCTGATGTTCATTAGCCAGCAATGAGGCGTCTGTCAGTGAAACTGTTATAGAGGAACTGACAGATAATCATTAAATAATCTTTTATTGTACAAAGCTGTCAAAATCATCTGAGTCTGAAAGTTTTGAGATGGTTCTCACTGCGGAACATGACATCCATGGGGAGGAGTCGGATCCAGATCCAACTCCTCCCATCTTACATACACCTAAACCTACCCAACTCCACCCCCTAATCCCGAAACCCAACCCTAATCCTACCCAACTCCACCCCCTGATCCTGAAACCCAACCCTAATCCCTAAACCCCACCCCTAATCCCTAAACACAACCCTAATCCTACCCAACTCCACCCCCTGATCCTGAAACCAAACCCTAATCCCTAAACCCCACCCCTAATCCCTAAACCCAACCCTAATCCTACCCAACTCCACCCCCTGTTCCTGAAACCCAACCCTAATCCCTAAACCCCACCCCTAATCGCGAAACCCAACCCTAATCCTATCCAACTCCACCCCCTAATCCCTAAACCCAACCCTAATCCTACCCAACTCCACCCCCTGTTCCTGAAACCCAACCCTAATCCCTAAAACCCCACCCCTAATCCCTAAACCCAACCCTAATCCTACCCAACTCCCCCCCTGATCCTGAAACCCAACCCTAATCCCTAAACCCCACCCCTAATCCCTAAACACAACCCTAATCCTACCCAACTCCACCCCCTGTTCCTGAAACCCAACCCTAATCCCTAAACCCCACCCTAATCCCTAAACCCAACCCTAATCCTACCCAACTCCCCCCCCTGATCCTGAAACCCAACCCTAATCCCTAATCCCTAAACACAACCCTAATCCTACCCAACTCCACCCCCTGTTCCTGAAACCCAACCCTAATCCCTAAACCCCACCCCTAATCCCTAAACCCAACCCTAATCCTACCCAACTCCCCCCCTGATCCTGAAACCAACCCTAATCCCTAAACCCCACCCCTAATCCCTAAACACAACCCTAATCCTACCCAACTCCACCCCCTGATCCTGAAACCCAACCCTAATCCTACCCAACTCCACCCCTTGGATCTTGATCCGACTCCTCCCCGTGGATCTCATGTATTGCATTGAGGTGCTACTGAAAGTTTTAGCAGAGCTAAATTCAATTTTTTTTTTTAAATGAGTCAAATAAAATACTACATACACTCTAAAAATGCTTGTTTCAACACATGTTTGGGTCAAATATGGACAAACCCAACTGTCCGGTTGAAAGTGTAAACCAATGCTTGGGTTTGTCCATATTTGACCCAGACAAATATTTTTATTGTAGTTGTTTTTATATATCCCATCCAGTTTTACAGACAAATAAATAGTACAATCACAGGACAGCACCAAACACAACCACACACACACACACACAAATAATTAAATAAACCACAAAAATAACAATTTATTCAGTCAGATTCAAGTTTGCAGTTTCTGATTTTTAGCCAAACTTGACATTATGGACCAGGTGAAATTGTACAAAAGGACCAAATGAGAAATATACAATAATGGTTACACTTTATAATAACTGCACACCATTAATCATTAGTTAAGCATGAGTAAACAGTTAATTCATCACTTATAAAGCATCAAAAGACATTAATAAGCAGTTTACAAATACAGCTATAAATGCTTTTCTTCTTGATTTATAAGCATATCTATAATGTTTAATAATTGTATGTTCATCCTTTGTTAATGATCAATTAATAATTTCTAAATGAAGTATAACATTATTAACAAACCAGTTATTTAAGAGTTGTCAGTGATTCATAAGATCACCTAGAAAGTTTAAGTAAACGTAGTAAACACAGGTAGCTATAAAGCATTTAGTAGAGGTCAGTTAACTATTTTGTGATCTCATCTAAAGTAAGGACTATTTATGACTTAATAAGCATTTATAAAGGGGATTCATCAATCTTTTAAACAGTAAAATGTACCAAACACAACACAGAGATACAGAACATAGAAATATTTAACAGCCTTTAAATCTCCCTTATAAATGCTTTACAAGGCATGAATAGTCCTCACTTTAGATGAGCTCACAAACATCGTTAACTGACCACTACTAAATGCTTTATAACTACCCGGATTAACCTTGAATTACAGCATAAATACATGTTAATAAAGCATTTATTGACACACTCAGTGACCATGTCTGAGTGATAAGCTGTATGAATGCGTTTATTAATCATTTACGTACACGTTCTAAGTAATCTTATGAACCACTGACAACTCTCAAATACTGTCTCTGGTTTAAAAAAATATCCAATTCTTCATTTAGAAATGATAAATTGATCATTAATAAAGGATGAAAATACAATTATTTAACAAATTATAGATATGCTTTTAAATCAAATCTATAGCTGTATTTATAAACTGCTTATTAATGTCTATTAATGCTTTATAAATGACGAACTAACTGTTTACTCATGCTTATTAGCATGTAGTTATTATACTGGGTTTCAAAAATTGTCCCCGGCTTTGACGAATAGTGAAGAAGCCCCCCAAGAAGTTTCAAATCCACCAATATTTACAGAAAAAAATAGGAAATAATAATTAAAAAAAAGTCTGTGTGGCATTAATAATAAAGAACATTTGTCATGATTGTCACAAATGTTTGCTAAATAATTAAGGAAAGGAGAAGAATGCATTTCTCTGATTAAAGTGTGAGCGTGGCCTTGGGTTCAGATAGACTCGTGTGTGTTTGAGACGGTGAAGATCGAATCCTCCCGCCGTGATCAGACGTTCCCGCAGTCACTGCCATCGTCGCGGCGGTGAGACTCCTCACAGCGGGCAGCTCGGATCCGTCAAAGAGGGATGTCTCCTAATGACTTATTCATATCATATTTCCTCTTCTCATCAGTCGAGCAAAGCCTTGTGCACGCCGCCTCCGTCCGCTGCCGGATACACCAAACCGTCTCCCTCCCACTCCGGGGTCTTAGAGAGCGGCTCAGCGGGTGGGCTGTGTTTGCATAATTTTATTGCCAGTAAGGCGTAAACAGTCACTAGCACACTTGATTAATCACGGTTCTCATTCTCCCCGCCGTCTTTCATCGACATAAGTGCTGCGGAGCCGCGTGGGAATTAATGTGACAGTTTAAAACACGCTTGTTAATCCCTCCTCGACGGCGGAAGAAGCTTCGATACAGCTGAAGTGTCGGAGGATTACAGTCAATTAATCGGGACCCCCACGTTGAACGTCCGTGCATAAATGCAAATCGGCTCCTCGTTCGCCTTCGCTCGCTTCCGGATAATGACGTTCTTGTGGTGTGTGTTTGCAGGCGACACGTGCACCATGGCGGAGTACAACAAGCTGAAGAACATGCTGTTGGACATGCAGCCCCGGACCGCCCCGAGCGGGGAACCGGACGCCATGGACCAGAGGAGGGCGCTGGTGGACACCATGTTCAAGTATATCGACCGAGACCAGGACGGCCGTCTGAGCAGTGAAGAGCTGGCAGAGGTGAGAGCACCTTCACTCTGAACGGGTGTAAGCCATGATGGACATCCGGCCGGATCTTATCTCAGAGTAAACCCGACGGCCGGGGTGATCAGGATCAGCTCTTCATCAGCCCGAAGGGGGTTATTCTGAGACACACACACATGCACATTCATTTGAGTTTTACAATTTTACCGGCATATTATCATCCACTAAAGCCCTATTCGCACGGGATTAGTATTATCCGGTGACCTGTAGTAATTAGTAATAATTGCGGAGTTTGTCTGAGATCTTAATCCCGTGCGAATCGGCCATGTCTGTAATTTGTAAAGTAAAAATTCCCTCGCAAATGACCAACTATATTTCGCCGAACACCGAGGTCCTGTGATGATATTAGTCCCGTGCGAATCGACATCTCTGTGATTTGGCCGGATCGTAAATCATTTTTTCAAGGTTTTTGTTTCATCGGCTTCTTTTTATCCATCTTACGCGAAGAATAGAGGCTGAGTTGGAGTGTTTTGATAGTATTTTGGGTGCGGGGTCATATTTTCCGCACTATAAAGTCTTTAATTTTCTCAAAAAACGACAGTGCGCTTTATAATCCGGAGCGATTTATACACACGAACAGACACACTGCTCGCGTTCATAAAGCGCTCCCCGTTCACAGCGAGCCGTCGTACATTGAATACTCACATGAGTCAGGCTGCGAATGTAAGTTACGTGCCAGCCCCAGCGCGCTCACGCCTACTAAATAAACGCCTCACCTCCGGCGTCGGACACTCGCTACATTCCCTTTAGCCTTTAGCACATCTAGTGGATGCATAACGCAAACCCAGTCAAACATTTGATTGCTCTATCTTATGTGCTTTATAATCCGGTATGCCCTATATATGAAAAATGTTCTAAAATAGGTCATTCATTGAAGGTGCGCCTTATAATCCGTTGCGCCTTAAAGTGCGGAAAATACGGGTATAGGCTACAATTTGCAGAAAGAGAAAGCTGAAAACCATCAGAAGAGCAAAAACAAAAAGAACGATTAAATGGAGATGAATGACATGTTTAGCAGCATACGGTAAGGACAATTCTTCTGTTTATTAGGCTATATACAACATAATAACGACAAGACATTTCAAAGCTATAGCCTAATGACATCATATCCGTGGGATAAGTCAGTAAATTCGAGTAAAATCACAGGCTTCGCTTATCCCGTGCGAATGCGCCACATCAAATTCAGATGTGGGTGATTTCAAATTCACACGTGGTCCCCAGGTAATACTAATCCCGTGCGAATAGGGCTTTAGAAAACAAACGTTGAAGCAATATTACAGTGCATTGATACTGAAGTCCTCTGGTTTTTATCTTCAGTACAGTAATTGAGTCACACACTGTAAAAAGAGGTTTCGTGTCATTCTTACATTGGAGAGCTATTCCAACGCATTCTCTTTGTAACACGCGCAATATACTGATGATTTTTCCAAAGCGTAGACATCCAACATACATGGCACCCTTTAGCGTCAACAAAACACTTTGGTTATGGGTAGGTTTAGGTGTGGTGTAGGGTTAGGGTTAGACCACTAGGAGGCGCCTTCTGCCCCTTATACAGTATATCTGCGTCTCATATTGACGCTAAAGGGCGCCATGTGTGTCGGATGTCTATGCATTGGCAAAAGCGTCGTATATGACGCCTTGGGATGAGAATGGTCTGGGCATTTCTACACAATTAAATGATTTTGTTGATATAATTAAATGTATTGAGGTGGATTCAGTGGATTTGCTTTGAATTAAACCAGTTAACTTAGAACTTACCCTTTTTTTGTTCAGCTTCTGCTAGCTTCCTCCTTGGTTCTTGGTTTTGCAGCTTCTTCCATTAATACTCAGGTGCTCTTCGGTCATTTCTGACCGAAAAATGTTCTGTTTTGAATTTCTAAAAATCACAGCTTCATCGGAATGTTATGAAACTTGGTGACTTTTATGGCATTATGTATGTGAACATACAAAAAAAAAAAACATTGATTTCACGATCTGAGCATGCTAAGAGGTCTT